TATATGAAAAGGCCATTTGTATCTCAACAAATGGTTAGTTTGCTAGATCTTGTTAGATCTGATATTTAATTATTTCCCATATCTACAGGGCGTAATTATGCCCCTTGATTTTCTTTGTTTAAAAAATGAAATTATTTCTTAAAAGTATTGGCATAAGTAGAACTACCTTAGGATAAGGACCCCAAAGGGTACAGAATTCTCTTCTTTTTCCCCCCACCCCAAGTTCTTGACTGGATTAGCCCTCTGCTCTTTTTGTGTAGTCTGTATGCCAGTTGCTAGTGCAATAATTCTTGAGGGGTATGGAAGAAAACTACCCGTTTTAATACTCTTCTTTTATATATTAAAGAGGGGGGCAATTCATTATAATAATTCTTAGCTTTTGGCTTCTTTGTTCCAACCAGTAAAAAGACAAATTCTCTCTGTGGCATTTAAAATAATTTAATGGATAACTTTGTAGACCTAACACTTTGTGTTCAACTGTGATACTTTTCAGTCGATTAAATGGATGTAATTTGTGCTGTTCTGAGTTAGATCTTCCTCAAATGGATGCAAAATAAAATCGATTAACATATTTCTTTTTAAAAATAGTTTCTTCAAGTATGCACTACTATTTTGCAAGCCATGCTATTTGCAAATCCAACTTCAAAAGGAGCAATAGTCATTTAATGAAGTGTTTTTATGAAAAATTTAAAGTGATTATTTTTCTTTTAGAATGTGGTCTGTTCCTGTACATAAAATGACATAGGATACATACAATATCATTTCATTTATTCACTAATAATTCTTAGAAATCTCATAGTGAATTTTGCAATATCATTGGATACCGTCAAATAACTGGAAATATAACATACCAGTGATTCTGAAGTGAGTTATATTGTAGGGTAGAGGATTACAGGGTTAAATTTTTCTCATGACCTGCAATATTTGCTTGAAAGATTTGGAACTATAAGGCATGCCCTATGAAGATTTAATAATTCTTTAAAGCATTAAGTCCACATCTTCAAAATGTTCTGCTAGTTGAAAAGTGGGTGCTGTTTATTGATACATAGGTCAAGCAATTAATTTTATTTTTTTTTTAAATGTGAATTGTCACTCCAAATGAAAAACTTTAAACAATTTAGAGAAGTCAAACAAATCGGCCTTATTATTTACGAAGATCCTTACTTTTACCAGCCTCTCAAATTTCCTGAAATATATTTTACTGATATGACTCCAGGCCTGTGACTGCAAAACATGACTCCTGGCCAAATTTCATATGTTAAAACTAAAAAAGTTTAAGTAAGGATATGTACAGGGAGGACTTTCTAGCCTCCTCTTCATGTAAGTGTCTGCCTTTTGCCCAAAGGAAAGGAGCATATGATCTCCAAACACAGGGGGCAGAGCTAAGACCCTGAGTGAACTGGGTTTAGCTCTTGTTCTTTGCCCTATCATGCCTTTCCATGACTTTCTACTCTTTATGAAAACGAACAAAGAGCACTGTCATTTCACTGTTTCTTTGGGATTTTATTTCTTGCTTCTCACGAAGCCTCCCACATCATGTAAAAATTAAATTCATGATCATTGCTTGTTACTGTGTCTTTTGTTAAAGGGGTTAACAAATCATATCCATTTAATCTACTAAGAATTCAAGAAATTGGAATGGTAGAAGAACAAGATTTTTTTTCTCCCCTGTACCACCATTTACAGCAGTGATATTCTTGTTACTCTTTTCTGCTAGACTGACTTCTAAGTTCATCCAGGCTGTAAGATATTTATTACTTCTTCATCTTCAGCTTTTAGTATTTTCTCTAGTAGATATTAGTTTTTGTTGAGTGGGTTAACAAAGAGCAGGCAAAGTCTTTCTAATGCAGTGCTATAGATGTTTTTTATTACATGAAAAGTCTGTAGCCTTTGTAACTTTCTCCAAGATTTTGTAATGCCCTATAGAGATACTTAGTAAGATGGTGCCTGTGAATATATTACAAGCTGCTTCTGCTGCCTGAAAGTAGAACATTTCTGTCGGTATGATTTGGTTAGTTTTTGCATGTAGCAATGAAATTACCATTACTTTATGTGAAAATTTTCCTTAGTGTTCCTAGAGCCAAAAAGTACTACCAAATTACACCAAATAAGAATGTTCTTTTTTGTATAGAGGGAGAAACTTATATGTGCTTGAGAAATTACCAGGAAGATGGTTGGTAAAGAATTTGCATGAGTGTTCTTCCCTTGTGTAAATTTACACTTGCAGGGTGAGTAAGGTCTTTACTGATTTTCTACCCACTATAATCTTAAAATTTCAAGTCTGAAAGGCAAAATACTCATATATTTAAGGAAAACCAGGTGACACCTCATATCTATGAAAAATAATTCTTGCTCCTATAGAGTGTTCTTGACAGCTTGTCAGTGGGACAGAGAAGACTAGACAGGTTCTGAATTGCTTTTCAGCCAAAACAAGTTCCCCTCAAAGAACACTGGCAGTGATGGTACGCTAAGGTGTCAGGTTAGAATGAACATTTTGGATCAGTTTAACACAAATCAGAATTTAGGCATGAGTAAAATTCATTTTTTTTTACATACATGTTTTGTCTCTTAATTTCCCAGCTAAAGGCATGTATCACATTTCTTACTATTTGTCAATGTTGGAAATTATATTTGAGAAGAGATGATTTATTTTCTCTGACTTCAAAACTGTTTCATTACTGCTTTGAGAAATGGGATAGTCTGATCTGAATTAGAAAATGGCACCTGCCTTTTTTGCTCTTCCTTATTTATTGTTCTTGATGTAAAAATAAAGCATAGTTATATTTATCTAATAGAAGCAACAAGAACGTATATGTTAAGAACATGCACTAGGACCCTCCCTGGTGGCGCAACCAGTTAAAGCACAGCACTGTGAAGCTGCAGCCACTTCACAGTGCCTCTGGCTTGTACCCCAATTTTGTATGCATAAATAAATCTTTTTCTTTTTAATAAAAAACATCTGGGTCCTCCCTGGTGACACAGTGGGGTAAAGCACAGCACTAAGAAGCTAAATCAACTTCAGCATGAGTTTAATCCTAGGCCTGGAGGTGACCACATGGCGCAGCAGACCTCTCCTGACCTACCTGCTGCTCCCCTCAGCAATGTACTTTGTCAGTCGGCCTGTTCTGCTCCCCACTCTGTCTCTGGTGAGTCCTCTCACCACCCCTGCATCTCTGGCCTGTACCAAATTCTATATGCATAAATAAATATATCTTTAAAAAACAACAACAAAAAAAGAACAGGCACTAACTCATAAGGAGCACAAACTATAATGTTTGTATAACTTGGTGCACATCATTCATTTTAATGTTTCTATAGATTTCTCTCTGCTTAGTATCCCTTGTCCCAGTTTATTTATATTTTGTTTAGACACTCATTTAACTCTTTAAAATTAGATTTCCACAGTTCAATGCATACTCTTCCTTATTTTTATTTGTAATCTCTATTTGTGTGATAAGTACTCCCAAAATAATGCTTTCCATTTACTAATTTGTCTCACAAGTAAGTCAAGCTTCTGTTCGTCCCTCTATTTTTTATCCTTTTTGTGACTACTTTCAGTTTTCTTTCTTACCCTTTTGTTTATCAGCTCACTTAAAAATACATTATTTATTCACTCATTTAAATTCCTTTTTCATGTTATACTTTTCCCTCAACATTTACTTTTGATTTTACTATATTTAAATTTATCTGGAAAAAAAAAAGATGATCATGTAAATAATATTGCAGTTCTTATCTATATAAGGAAAAAACCCCACACAGTTAAATAGAAGCATTTATGAAAAATACAGTTATTATCCTTTAGCAAACAGCTCTTTTCTATACCACTCTCAGAAGTAGTCATTAAAGGAGGGAAATTTTTTAGCACTAATATAATAGAGAAGTGGGGTAAAGAAAAAGAAAAATAAGAATGCTTCATATAGATGTGTAGAGAGAATTTCATATGTTATTCTTATTGGTGTTTTCTTATATTCCACATGGACACATTTAAGGTTTTATATAACATGAGGAAGAATAACTAAAATATATGAAGGGACTGCAAATGATTTTCATTCAAGGGGAGAAAACTGTGTGAAATTTAGTAATGTCTTTAATGCCAAGAAAGTGGAAGAAAAACAATTGATTTAGGAGTTTCTAGAATGCCATAACACCCATAGTCCCTATTTTAAGTTATTAATATAAAATATGTACATGCCTGAAAAAGTTTGAATACATCCGTCAATCATAATTATAATGCTCAAAGTCACTCCTTTAAAACTTAGGTTTTAATTCAGTAATTCCAAATCTAAGATTTTATCTAAGAAAAGTAAATAATTTTAAACTTTGTGCCCTAATATGTTCATTGCAGTGTAATTTATAAATAAATAGAAATTGATGACATCCTGACTATTTTTTTTAAAAAAAGAGGAATTAGAGATAATGGAATATTAAGTGGCATTAAAATACAATGTTTATAAAATATTTGTAATGACATGGGAGAGCATTTATCAGGTGGCTTGGGTGAAAGTATTTTTAAATACTATAAAGAGATACATTGAAGTATGGAAAGTGGTTATCCCTAGGTAACAGAATGAGAAGACATTTAAAATATTTCTAAATCCTTTTGCCTTTTTCTAAATAATCTCCATGTAGCACATCCTTCCTATTATATTCCCAAGTCTTATAAGCAAACAGATAAAATTTAGACTATTCTACTTACTGTTTCATAAGATTTTTATAGAAATTAAGAAAACATTTACTCTTATATTTGCCAAGCACATCTCTGTCATTTTTCTCTATTTGATTTGGGTGTATTTCAATACATAAGAGGTTGTGTGCTAAAGGTTCATTGGTTCTGTAATTTAATGATGAGATGGAAAAGTGGACATAGTTGGAGCTGGAAGGAAGAAGAAAGATTTCTATTTAATGGAGTGAACTTTCTTGCAGCATGGATACAGGATGGCAGTCTATGCCCTTTAACTGTCAGAGAACTGATAGAATATTTTCTTCTCTGTTTCCTACAGTATCAAGTCATGGGTGGATAAGATGCAAGAAGACCTTGTCACACTGGCAAAAACAGCTAGCGGAGTCAATCAACTTGTTGACGTGAGTAAAACCCGGAGAAACTTGTTAATCTTTTTGAAAATTTGTATGCCGTGCTGTGTGCTAGGAAAAACTTTCTGTATTATACGTAGCAGTAAGATATGATTTCTCCTGTGAAAAAATGGTAGTGAATTTCTGAGAGACACCTTGGCATGGAAGTTGCTGTAAACAAGACATGCCACTTCTTGCAATTAATGAAGCTTTTTCACTATACTTTACAGTCTATAGATGGTTCTTGTGACATGTAGACTACCCTAGAATTCAAAATGGGATGTGAAGTTTCCATTTTACAGGGAATATTTTAAAATCTTTCACATAGAAGTGATTGTAAGTTTTGTGAAGTATTCTCTTGAATATCCTCAGTGGGAACACATTTTCATTGTTTGAGGGTAGATTTTATTTTCAAAAATAAGTGAACATTGTATACAGCTATGTCTAGAGACCAGAGTGAGTCATTTAGATAGGTAATAAAGATTTAGGTTTGAGAGAAGAGTCACTATAAAATACAATTGTTCTTATGATTTATAAAATAATTATTAAAGTCACTCTAACATAACTTTAGAAAGTGAGAGCTTTATATAAAAATACATAGTATCTTAAATTAATTTTCCTTAAGTAAGCTCATTTTTTTGTATACTTTTATGAGATTCATTAAAAAATTTGTGTCATTTCTTTAGAGTCTCACTATTTCCATGTCAAGGTAATTAATGTAACAATTTGAAAGTTCTTTCACCTGCAGTTATCAACAAGGCCTCTTATTTCCCAAAAATGTACTTTCACCTGCAGTAAATCAACAAGGCCTCTTATTTCCCAAAAATGTAATGGGTCAATGAAGTCAAGTAGTATAACAGCAATTTCATGTGTGACATATAAATATTTTTGGAATGTTTATATGTGATTATGCCTTTCTGGGAGAAACTAGAATGCATGGTTGCCATATGTATTAATACACATTCAAAAATAACCCTAGTTAAGCAAACACTAAAAAAAAAATTCCAGATATTATATTATTCTTTTAAAAAAAAAAATCTTTGTGCTAACATTGTTGTTTATATGAATTAAGGGGATAGGTTCATATCCCCACAACTACCCACCACAACATACCCATATCCCTTTAACATTTCCAGAAACTTCAAAACACCTGTAGGTTTTAAACCAAGAATATAATAATTATAATTAAATACCTGTGACATAACTTTATATATTTGGAAATAATAGCTGTTCCTTGTGAATAACAAAGGTCAAATTCAGTTCTGTTTGGGCACACCATAGGCCTCATCATGCACTGTGCAGGGCATGCCAGAAACACTCTCCATGCCCCAGGGAACTGATCTGTACTTATTCAAAATCCCCATTACTGGGGTGCACAGATGCCTGCAAACTTGTGTAAGCTTGTGCACGGGTTATGCAGTGAAAGTGTTTAGGGTAATAACTGAATCGCTATGAAAGGGATAGGGCTGTAGAATTGAAAAAAAAGGAAATGAGAATTGACACATTCAGGGCAGAGGTTATGTGCCTTTATTGATGGATTCAAATTCAAACAAACTGCCCTTGGGAGCTTGTACTCCTGCAGGGTGTCTCCAGCTTCAAAACCACTCCCTTTGCTGACCTCATTTTTACTTTTGGTGTTAGTATGTGAGCCTTGCTGGCTATATAAGCTTTTTGCATTGCAATATTAAGCAAAAAATCTCACCTGATATCTTTTATGCTTTGTGATGTATAGAATACCAAGAAGAGTATAGATATTGGTGAATGAATAAAAAACTGTCTAAATTAAAGTGATAAAAGAGAATAGGTAGGATGAAAAAAAAGCTCACAATTTTATGTTTATGAGACATGTGTCTAATATAGTGACAAGCTGGAGAGACGGTTTCTTATGCCTCTTGCCTAGAAAGGAAGTCCACAATGGAACCAGAGAGTGCACTCCTTTTTGTTCAGAGCACTAAAAATTCAAGGTAGCTAAAGGATGCCAGCGTTCAGAGTTGAAGTAAACTGAACTGAGATTGGGTGCTTGGTAAGGAACATATGATTGAATAAATAGAAAACCCGGGTTCTTAGTTGAAATTCAATATTGTGGAGATGATGATTTTGCCCAAATTATTTACTTTCATAATTTTTACAGACTTATTAAAAAGAACTGCAATGTAACAATATATTTAAAATAGGACATCTTTGCAATCTGATGTAAATTGCCTTATGGCAACATGAGACCAGTGAAATTTGATAAATAGTGTTGAATAAATTCAGTACTTTAATTTTGCAAATGAAAGGCTTTGCTCATTTCACCTACGTAATTTGTGTTAAAGATAAGGACTATGTAGGCTTAAGTATCACTACTATAACCTTGTTGTATTTGAAATTAGGATATCTTTTATTTAATTGTTCCATTACCTAATTATGTGTTGGGAAAACACATATATACATCAATTGCATATGTTCATCATCAGAGTAGATGAAATAATTGAGAGAAGAAAAAATAAAGTTAGATAGAAGAGATGATGTGTGTAGTAATTATTCTTAGTATATTTAATATGTTAGAACCTTTTAAATACAACTGAAGTACTTCATTTTTTTCCATTAGTTAAGTCCCTGTACAAAGCCTTTGAGTGCATTATCTTATTAATCCTCAGCACACCTTGTTAAGTGAACAATGTCAGCTTTAGTATGAGTTAAGACATTGTTTGCAAAGTTGAATTTTTGTTTGACGATAGACAGCTACTAACTTGAATGTAATTCCAAGGCTAAAAAAAAATAATAATAAAAGCATACTATCTTTTACTTGTATGTTGAGAATGTATACTGTTACTTGTATGTTGAGAAGATTAGCAGATCCCCAGCTAAGTAGAGGTTAATATAGTTAGTTATGCTTTTGCTCTTCTTATAAAAGACATAAATTAGAAGAATACAAGACTTCACCAGTAGGTATCCATTCACGAACATTTCCCCTTGAATTTCATTTGGAAATAAAAAAAGTAGAAATTCTAAAATGTAAATTTATTTGTTTATTTAAGATTTCTTTATTTTTGCATATAGGAACTGGCGTGCAAACCAGAGTTGTGTGTAGAGGTGTGAGAGGATTCACCAGAGGCAGAGTGGGGAACAGAACTGGTGGGTTGACTAAAATACACTGCTGAGGGGAGCAGCGGGTGAGACAGGACAGGTCTGCTGCATCATGTACCATGTGGGTCAGCTCTCTGGCTGGGGATCAAACTTGTGCTCCAGTGGCTGTAGATAGCTTCATAGTGCTGTGCCTTAATCTGTTGGATCACCAGGGAGGACCCTAAAATATAAATTTCTATACAGAATTCAAAAATTTCCATTATTGTTGGTGAGCAAAGAAATAGCTATATATATCCATTGAAAGAGTTGTTAAAAATGGTACAGAATGTAAATTATTCCTGATTTTATCTTCATGTTCTTCTATACTTTTTATGGAATATCTTTACATATATTTTAAAAAAATAATTGGCCCTCCCTGGTGGCGCAGCGGGTTAAAGCACAGCACTGAGAATCTGAAGCCACTTCCGCATGAGTTCGATTCCCGCCTGCCGCCTGCCCCGGAGGAGACCACATGGCGAGCCAGACCTCTCCTGACCCTCCCGCTGCTCCCCTCAGCAGTGTACTTCGTCAATCTGCCTGTTCTGCTCCCCACTCTGTCTCTGGTGAAGCCTCTCACCGTCCCTGAGCCTCTGGCCTGTACCCCAGTTCTGTATGAATAAATAAATAAATCTTTAAAAAAAAATAATTAAGCATACAGACTTGGGGGTATAGGCCAGAGGCAGTAAGAGGATTCACCAGAGACAGAGTGGGGAGCAGAACAGGCAGATGGACAAAGTACACAGCTGAGGGGAGCAGCGGACAGGTCAGGAGAGGTCTGCCATGCCATGTGGGTCACCTACCTGGCAGGGATTGAACTTGTACTAAAGAGGCTGTGGCTAGCTTCATAGTGCTGCTCTTAACCGGTTGTGTCACCAAAGAGGAACTTCACATATACTTTTAAAAAATAATTAAGACTATTGTACCTTGTGGTTCTTTGGTTGATTGCTTGTGGTCTGGCCAAGATGGCTCCTTCATGTAGTTGTTGAGATTGATGATGCAGTCCTTGTAAAATATTTATTGATCCATAATGAGAACTCAAGAAATATCTTCTGATTTGTTGTATAAGTAGAGGGTATTGTTTTTGCAACAGTTGGGGCACAGGCTGAGCCAAAATAGCAGATAAGATAGCCATGTGTTTTTCTCATGTGACAGGAGTAGTTTAGGGCCAGCAGGGAGCTCTGCCATCCTGAGCAGGTGGCTTTCATTCCTGGGCACTTGATAATTCTTTATTGTCCTATTTCCTAGGCACCAGTTACAGGGAAAGAGACTGGGAGAGCAGAGAGCAGAGATCCAGTCACTTCCATTCCAATGGCCAAAACTTATCCCTTGGCCACAGCTAATTAGAGAAGTGGGACATTTAGCTGAGTAGCCATATGCTCACAAACAGTAGAGGACACCAGACCCACAAACATGTAGTATTAGAATAGGCTGTTGAGAAGAACTGTGTCTAAAAATGTATTAAAGATAGAGCAACACAAAATGCAAGCTATGTTGTAATATAATTCAAGGAAAAAGTAGGTACAAAGCTTCCAGATTTGGAAATGTATATGCATTTTGGAACAATATGAATCACAGAATATTTTAATACAACATTTTATTACATTTACACACACACACATTCCTTTAGCTAGCATGATGGCAAATGGAGCGGCTGTTTATCAAATAGAGATAAAGTGGGTTTAATTTTGTTGGAAACAATGCTTTGAGTTCATAAAACATTCACTAGGACACACTTTTAATTGTGGACAAAATATTTTATGATAAAGTTATATCTAAATTTTGCTCAATTCCAGTGAGCAGATATTCTAAATTAATGGGAATTTACCTTATGAAAAAGTTATCCAAATAAAAGTTGACAAAGAAACTATTTTTCTTTTGTACAAATACATTTTTGGATTTACACG